TTTGGCAAGAATACTACAAAGATGATTAATCAGTATGCTTTAAAAGCTACATAAGTGTTTCTAATGCTTCAAACAAGGCATTCCTTATGGGTATTTTTAATGAATTCATGAAAAGTGCAGAAGAACCTCTGCTCTGTGGATTCTACAAAAATTAACACCTTTTTTGCTCTTCTGAGCACAAAGGGAAGGATAGTGCTTGACACCCAGAGAGTTTGAAAAATAAAAACTATTTGGTTATAAATAATTGAATCGTTCATGCAAAAGATTCTTATAAAACACTTTTTGAACTTGCATTTGTGTCCTAGTTCTGGAAGGGATTTATAGCAGGAAATGTTGAATTATGACAATTGTCAAAAATCATTGAAACAGAAAGAAAGTATATACTGTTTATTCTAGCAGTTAATCTGTATGCACACAGGGTGACCTTTCTGTTCAGAGAGGAAAATAGAAAGCTAGATGCAGGCTGGAGGAGCCCTGGTGGCATAATGGTTCTGATAACTGTCTTATCAATCCCTGATAAAAATTTTTAGCACTGCCTCTTTTTTCTCCATGCAACAAAAATATTCCCTATGAGCACTTTGAGTTGACTATGGAGCCCTGGCGGCACAGTGGTTAAGAGCTTGGCTGCCAACTGAAAGGCTGGCTGTTAGAATCCACCAGCCGTACCTTGGAAACCCTATGGGACAGTTCTACTCAGTCCTATAGGGTTGCTGTGAGTCAGAATCAACTCAACGGCATCAGGTACTGGTTATAGTGTCTATGAGTTGGAAATGACTTGATGGCAATGGTTGTAAATAAACAATTAAACCTGATCATACCTTGTTTACTGTAAGCCCTTGTGTACCTTGCTTACTGGTTAATCCTCCCCTGATGGTAAGGATGGTGCAGGAATGGGTAATGTTTCCTTCTGTTATACATAAGGTCACTATGAGTCAGAGCCAACTTCATGGCAACTAACAACAAGAACACTGGCTGTGGGTCAGACTGGGTTTCAGTTTCATCTTAACCACATACTTGCCACTGTAGCTTTGAGCAATTGAATATTTTTATGGCCCAGTTTCCTCTTCTATATATATATGCAGTTTGTAGTACTTCATGCGATCTGTATTGGGTTGTTTTGGAAATTTAATGAATTAACACCTAAAGGTTTAGAATAGTACCTGGCAAAGAATAATCACTTGTGTTTGTATTCATCAAAAGCACCATAAAAAGGATGAAAAGGCAAGCTACAGAATGGGAGAGGATATTTGTAGCACACGTAGTTATATGTCCCCAACGAAGGACTCAAACTCAATATTTGAATACACATTAGTAAGCAAAGACAGATAAACCTGATGGAACACGCTTCTTCCCTCAGCACTATTGACATTTTGAATTGGATGTTTCTCACGCATTGTAGGATGTTTAGCTGTATCTTTGGCCTCTACCCACTAGATGCCAGTAGCATTCCCCCAGTTGTGGCAACCCAAAATACACCCAGGCATTGACAAATGTCCCTTGGGGGAAAGGGGTAAAATTAACCCTGGAAGAGAAGTACTGTGATATAAAAATGGACAGAAAGGATAAATAGGCATTTTGGAAAGAGGAAATCCAAATGTCACCAAAAAATGAAAAGATGATCAATCTTATTAGTAATCAGGGAAATACAAATGTGATGCGTTATCATAACAACAATTGAATATTCTACCAATTGTTGAATATGAGGAGCATTAGGAATTATTATGCACTATAGGTATAGGGTCACTATGAGTCAGAATCGACTCAATGGCAATGAATTTGGTTTTTTTTTTTTTTTTTGAGTAGGTGAATATATAGTTTGGTACAACCATTTTGGAAAACAGTCTAGCATTATCTAGTCAAGTTGAAGCTATGCAGGCCTTATAACCAAGTATTTTCACTCCTAAGGCATATATCCTAGAGAAATTCATTCCATTGTGCACTGGATTCACGTACAAGCATTTTCATAGCTGCATTGTTTGTAATGGCCAAAGGCTAGAAACATCCCAAGTGTTTAACAACAATGGCATGTATAAATTACATGTGGCATGTATGAATTAAAGTAGAAACGGGAGTTTAAAGACAAGTTTAGGGAGAACTGTGTATTCATTCAATGGGTATAATTATGAAAAATAATGAATAAGTAACATGCAAGCAAAAATGTATCTCACAGACATAATGTTGAAAGAAAGAAGACACAAAATAATAAGTACTATTGGATTCCATTTATAAAATGTTTAACAATAAGTAAAATCAAACTTTATATTTTGGGGGTTAATCCGTAGTAGAAAAACCGTGACGTGATTACCATAAGAGTCAGGATGGAGGATAGCTATTGTGGGTATGGAATGGAAAGTGGTATAATCTGGAGAGGACGTATGAGAGATTGTTGTTTCTTGAACTGGTTATTGGCATTGTCATGTTCATTATGTATTTTATGTTTTGTGCAATATTCTGTGTATGTGTTATATTTCACAATTTAAAAAAGTTAACGAATACTTGAACAAATTTTTCATTACTATTTAAAAAATCATCTTTTCTTCTCTTTAAACTCCTGTTTTCATTTTAATTCCTTCGCAGATTTTATTATAATGTTTTTATGCTTGAAAGAGTTTTAAGGATCACTTATCAAGCTTAAGTATAATAAAAAGATGTATATATAAATTTAAATTTTGTTTTATTTCTATAACCATAAGCCTCCAAATGTTAACACATTTCTTTAGGTTTCAGCTATTATTACAATTATTATTGGCATAACATTTATTAAAACTATAATTGTGTTACAAACTTTGATAATTGTTGCACATTAAAGTAGAACTGTATTTTGAAAGTATATCTTAATGAGATGAGTAATAATCAAAATTATTCTCATCCATTTATGAAACAGAAAGGTATAGATTTGCTAAAAACTACTGTCTAGAACTAGCATATTCTAATATTTGCTAAGAAAATTAGGGGATATTAAACATTAGGAGAATTGGCTATGATTAGAATTCATGATATTATTTGCCACCACTCATCTGTCAATTGTCATACTGTGGTGGCTTGCGTGTTGCTGTGATACTGGAAGTTGTGCCACTGGTACTTCAATTATCAGCAGGGTCATCCATGGTGGACAAGTTTCAGCAGAGCTTCCAGACTAAGGCTGACTAGGAAGAAGGACCTGACAGTCTACTTCTGAAAAAAATCAGCCAGTGAAAAACTTATGGATAGCAGTGGAACATTGTCTGATATTGTGCCAGAAGATGAGCCCCTCAGGTTGGAAGGCACTCAAAATACAACTAGGGAAGAGCTACTTCCTCAAAGTAGAGTCAACCTTAATGGAGTGGCTGGAGTAAAGCTTTCTGGACCTTCATTGGCTAATGTGGCATGACTCAAAATGAGAATTAACAGCTGCAAACATTCATTAGTAATCAGAATGTAGAATGTACAAGGTATGAATCTAGGAAAATTGAAAGTTGTCAAAAACCACCATTCCTCTTCAATTTGTCATTCCTGGCATAGTAGACCATATGATTGTCCGATTCAGAATGACCAATACCAGTTCATTTCAGGTCACTAATGCCCAGGATATTGATCTTTAAGCGTTCCATTTCATTTTTGACAATTTCCAATTTTCCTTGGCAGCTCTTTTCCAGCATCACAGCAACACACAAGCCACCACAGTATGACATGCTAACAGACCGGTGGTGAAAATTATAAAAACAAAAACAAAACTATTTAAAGTCTCTGGAAATTGTCTTAAGGGCATACAACAAACGCAGAAACATTTATTCAAGCAATCTGCTAAATCTTTGTAAGAATAACAAAAGCCCGTGACATTTGAGCCACAACCCACTCCCCACCAACTCAGTATGACAGAAGCTCCACTTGGGGCAGATGCAGCCAAGAACACGGGCTCCTTCTTCCCCTAAATCTCAATGAAGGCTTATGGTGTCTCCTTGGGAGGAGCAGGCTGCCGGCATTTATCATCCTTCCTTACTCTGTGTTGCAAGAGTGGCTGACCGGTCTGGGGCTTTCTTTTTTCACCCAGCTTCACTCAAAAGGCAGGAGCTCTATGCCATGTATGGCAGACTGAGAATACTGGGGCCCTGATTGCACTTACCCCAGCTTGTGCATATAGTGGAGGTTCTATGCCAAAAAGACCAGAGGATACCACCATTGCGCATTGTTTTACCTGTAAAGCAGGGGTGTGACTCTGAGAAAAGTAAGCAACTGCTCCTTCGCCCAGTTATGGAGCAATGACCCTGAGGTTCTGTCCAGGGTGAGAGGCAGGCCATAAGAACAGACAGCTCTGAAACTCTTCCCAAGGGAACTGGCCTTTTTTGGAACTGAGTGTACAGAAGTTTGAGCTTGTGGGCAGTCTGGGAAACAATGGAGATTTTAGTTGTAAGCAATCAGCCAGCAGTTAGTGGAGCCCTGTTGGTACAATGGTTAAGCGCTGAGCAGCTCTGAGGGAGAAGGACCTGGCGATCTGCTTCCTGAAAGATTACAGCCTAGAAAACCCTATAGGGCAGTTCTACACTGAGTTGAAAATTGACCCCACAACAACAACGCCTAGTTGCAGTTGTCTTTGTTAGTTTGTTGTAATGCGATTAGTGAAGTTAATCTTATCTCTCAGAATACAGCACTGCTTCTCAGAATACAGTAATGCTTGTGATAACTTTGTGTTTGTACCAAAAATGTGCTATACAAAGTCATGCTAATAATTATTGTCTAAAGTCTATTAGCATATTTTCCATGCCTTACAGGCAAAATCTTGTTATTGTTTTGGTAAGTTGTACCAAAAATGTGCTATACAACTCATGCTAATAATTGTCTAAAGTCTATTAATTGGCATATTTTCCATGCCTTACAGGCAAAATCTTGGGTTTTTTTGTAAGTTGGTATAATAAAAGGAGACTTTTTACAAAATGCAGTTAATTAGGATAATGATTGGACCTTGAGCATCCTCATCATGATATGTATCATGAAAAGACTGAAATATTGCAATTTTCCTGTAGATATCACACTACAGAAAGAAACTCAAGAAGGAATTCCACCCCCAACCCAGAGCCAGGAACCTCTGAAACCTCAGGAAAGTATATCACGACCCATTCACCATCCTTTAGTTTTAAAAACTAACTTTGAGGAAGAAGAGGATGAAGAAGATGAACAAAATGGTTAGTAAATCTTTTCTCAGATATACAATGCACATTCAAAAACTTCACAATACTTTCTACAATAATTGTTTATCAGAGGTTTATAATGTACTATATAAAACAGATTTGGGTGAGAAAGTAGCTGTAACTTTTTTGTCTATTCATTATGTTCTAATTCTATGTCTACGCATGCTTATGGTCATCTGGATTGGAAGGTTTTTGTTATATGATGGCTAGGAGATATTTATCTTGTGGGGTAAATATGTGCATGTGCCTGTAGGGATACTAGTAACCTTTTTTATTTATATTTAATTTAACTGTTTCCAAAACACATTAAGATGTATATATATATATGTCTATCAATTTGTTGATCTGTCATCTATCTCTTTCACATTTAATCCTTGAAGTTATAAACAACTACAGATTACTGTACAGTTTATAAAGCACTGTCTTCTGTACCTTGTAACCTTCATAAAAATATAAACAGGGCTGGAACCCAGCTCTTTTGTATCCTAGTCCATCCTTTCCCTTCTACATCATCATAGCATAGTGGTGCCAGTAATTGTGAACATACAAGATAAACATGCAGAAACAAACTCTCACCCTGTCTTTACCCTGGAGTGTGTCCTTCTGTGGGCAACAGGCCACCATAGTTTCTGTGCTTAGGAATACATAGAACTGTTTATTACTCTTTTTGTGCTGCATCTCCATATCTTCCATGCCTACATCCTCATCCAGATAAACACAGATCTCAACATGTGTTTATAGGAGTATATACCTTCAGTTGTCATTTCAAAAGACATCATGTATCACATTGTATCATGTAGTCATTTCATTTCTTTTAACTGAGCCTTTCTAAAACTTACACTGTAGCACTTAGAAATATTTACCAATGTGCAAAATTCTTGATTTTAAAAACAGAATAACCAGTAATTCATCCATGAGAATACTCTTTGGGACTTTTCTTTCTGGTTTATAAATTTTCAGAGTATTTGGCTATAGGACACTTTAATTTAAAACAAATATATCCTATAGATGCTTCTAGTTTATGGACAAAGACACCTGAAGAAATTGAAGAAAAAAGAGCAATAAAGGAGATGTGTTATAAATCTGGTAAGAAATCAAACATTTGTGAGTTTTCTAATACTTGGTGTGACAAATATACTAACCATTATTTTTCCTGTGGGGAGATTAGGTGAATACTACAGATTTCATATTCCTCCAGATACTTCATCGTCAAAGAGCGTAGCTACTACAGTGGAAAAAGAGTTAGAAAAGCCTTTGGAAAATGGCAGTGAATTACAAGAAGGTAAGAATTTCAAAGGCAGCATTTCAAGTTGATATCTAAGTGATACTTGGTGATAGACTGTGAATTATTTAGTAAGATGTACATGAAGAGAAAACTCAAGGTTTGAATTTTTTCTTCAGTTCTTTCAACTTGAGAAATGCTGAGCATGCTCATCCCTTTTGGCTTTCTAGCCTTGAGTTGCAATATTGAAGGTTTCTATGGGCAAAATATTGAATGACTCAGGAAGCATCAAAAGAAGATGGAAGGAATACATACAGTCAC